CACACACACACACACACACACACACACACACACACACACTACTGAGACGTACCTGTAGGGGATGCTAGAGTCATAATTTCACTGCATTATTGTTTGGTATTCATATATTATTCAAATGTTTTAACGCGAGTAGGTATTTTAGGCATGAACATATATTTCAGTGTTTGCCTTAGGTTAGAAATAAAGATTTTAAGGTTGTTGACCATGATTTTCTGAAGTCCTTTGAGGTAAAGTTACTTTCAGCAGCCATGGACACACATGAACCAAACATCAACTGACTTCTGTAGCGAAGCCACTCTCTTTGTTGAGCTGTTTAGATGGTAGCTTTATGTATTGATTTCTTTTTGTTGTCAGGCGTTCCTGCAGGAGCTCAGTCGAGGACAGGAGAGCGTGACGTCTTTTAATGAACTGTCCAATCAGCTTCTGCAGGAATATGCCGCTGACGACACGCGCAAGGTCACAGAGGTCATGGACAAACTCAACACGGCGTGGAACAGTGTCAATAACAGGTATGTGCTCGCACATCAGTCTGCTTGTGTATTTATGAGCATGTTCATTTCCCTAATCTCCAATAAATGAGAGGAAATGAATCATACACACACACACACACACACACACACACACACACACACACACAGTGTGTCATAAACACTCATAATCACACTAATGTTCAGCATGTACAGATATCACACAGCACACACACTTCTCGACACACAGATCATCATAACATCTCCCTCCATAAATGTTATTGCTGTGGCATGTAATATTGTGGTAATGAATGCTACTGTAATAATATTATGGTAATAAACACTGTTGTTGTTATTATGCTACCACAATATTGCAGTAACATACTGCAGTAATATATGCTACCATCATAAATATTACAGTTATTGCACTTTTAGGAATTTTGCAGAAATGTTATCATGATAATATTGTGGTAATAAATACTACTGCCGTAACTGTGCTCTTACGAATATTGCAGATATGAATACTACGATAAAGATATTGAATTTATACTACTACCATGTTAATTTAGTAATACATTGAATCATCATTATGCATTTATGATTATAATATCAATAAAGGATATAAATATAATGTTGTTATAATAAATACTACCATAATATTTAAGTAATACTTTACCATAATTATTCTCACAAAATACTACTGTAATAATAATTTGGTAATAAATTATGCTTTCATGAATAATGTCAATAAATATTTATAATACTGTCATTATAATATTGTTATAATAGATACTACCATAACAATATTGAAGTAATTATTATGCTCTCACAAAATACTACTGTAAGAATAATTTAGGAATAAATTATATCATAATTATGCTTTCATGAATAATGTCAATAAATGTGTATAATACTTTCATCATAATATTGTTATAATAAATACTACAATAACAATATTGAAGTAATTATTATGATCTCACAAAATACTGCTGTGAGAATAATTATAACATAATTATGCTTTCACAAATATTTTGTAAATAAATGCTAATAAATACTGCCATACTAATATGATTATAATAAATACTACTGTAATATTGAAGTAATAAATATTTCACTCAAAATACTACTTTAAAAATATAGTAACAAATCTTATTGTAATTATGCTTCCACTAATATCACATCAATACATATTAATAAATACTTAATATGATACAATAGTAATAACTAATTAATAAACATTTAATAATCTTGTAATAAATACAACCATATTTGTTTTAATGCAATTAATGCTAATAAATACTTTATAATAAATAGTAGTCTGATATTAGATACTACTAAAATTATTAATATTATTTCAATAAATGCTAACAAATACTACTCCAGTAATATTGCTGTATTAAATACTATTTTGATTATGCGTTTACAAATATTGTGGTAATACACAATGTTGTGAAATTAAATGCTACTATAATTATGCTTTCATAAATACTAATAAATACTACTGTAATAACTGCTCTATTAGATACTACCTTGATTATGCTTTTACAAATACCGTATAAATACAGAGTTCTGGCATGAAACTCTAGATGGCGCAGTCCGATAGGTCTAGCTCAATCTGACCTAATGACATCATTATCACATGGCACAGCTGATTTGGTTCTCTCCTGTATCGGTAGCCAATGAGCTCGCTGCTCAACTTTCAAATATATGACTAGTGCTTGCCGTAGCAGTTGCTGCTTGCTTCTGAAACCCTCCACCTTCCCCAGCTCCACCTGTATAGATCTGCTACGAGGTGATTCATGTATGTTATATTTGCAGCAGCAGTATTTCTTACATGCTCACAGCAGCGTGTTGTGGATGTATTGGCAGTAGCAAGTCTCGGTACTTGCTCTGCCGCAGCAGCAGCGTAGCAGATCTATTCCGCCAAGACCAAATACATTAACATTGTCATGTACTTTACCATGCCAATCCCTCCGAGAGTTGTCATGACAGAAATAAATGTTAATAAATGCTTCCATGATAATATAGTAGTAGGAAATACTATAAACATTGTGGTTATATGAATATTGCATTATGATTGCACACATATTACCACCATAATTAATACTTTGCTAATATGAAGGAAATGTTTGTGTGTTGACTACAGTTGTTTAGATTTTTTCAGCGTCGTTGATTGTAGCGTGGTGTGTTGCACTGGTTTGTGGTCATCAGGGCTTTGGACCGTCAGGCTGCGTTGGATTCAGAGCTGAAGTCTCTCCAAGCGTGTCTCCGTGAGCTCGAGTCCTTCCTCAAGTGGCTCCATGAGGCGGAGACTACAGTCAACGTGTTATCTGACGCCGCCCAGAGGGAGGAGCTCTTGCAGGACTCCGCCCACATCAAAGAGCTGGAGGGGCAGCTTGGGGTAAGAACATGTGCATACTTATATTCCATCAAATCCATTTGGGACGAGAGCCAAATTTGCAGCTTATTTTGGCATCCCAGAAGTTGTGTGAAACCAACCAATCAGATTTGAGCTTGTGATTTTCAGCTAGCACTTGCCAGTTTTGATTTCTACCACTGAAATGCATGAGATGATCAGTGTGTGGACTGCAGGCGAATCTGGAAGATTCGGGAACTAAAGTGCATGTGAACGATATTCAATTATCTCTCCGTAAGTCCTCATTAGTTCCCTCGTCAGCCAGACCCGCAGCATACGTGTAATCAAGGTACAGATCACTTCAGCTGTGAAAGAGCGTGTCTTTCTTCTCTTCTCTCTCCTCCGAGTCTGTGTTTGTCCTGTGAGATTCATACATCACAGTTTGATCTCTTTATCTGCTGTCCACTCTAATCACGACTGTACGCTCTCACTGCCTACTACCATTCAGCAGCCTACACACTACAAATGCACTAAGCACACTAAAACCGACTGTCCCCACTCTAAAGTGTGAAGTCGCACCAATTCATTGAATAATCTTTTATTGTCATGTTGCTTGGCAACAAATGGCATTTTTGCACCCGTGAAGGGCACTGCGAGGACATTTGTAGGGTCAGTTGAAACCAAAGTGAGCAGCTGAATTATTTCGTGAAGGCCGTTAGTGAAGTGTACTGACGATTGTCTCTTCAACATGTGAGTGCAGAGTCCTCAATTCATTCATTTGAAGATTTTAGGGCTTTACAGGGTCAAAACTGCTCACACTTTTGCATATTTTTGTTTATTTATTTGTTTGTTTATTATCATTATTACATGAACTCTGCAAGTGCTGTGAGTTTGAGTCCCATATGATGTGCATTTGATACACATAATGCACCAAACTTTTTTCCCCCAGTTTGTAATGACGACGGTTTATAAATCTGTTGTTATCAAAAGAGAAGCATTTAAAAAGAGATGTTGTCCTGTGGCTTCCTGCCAAAATAAAAGCGTTTGAAAGCAAAGTAAAAAAAACAGCCATAAATAATATTATTTAATAATAATTATTATTATTATTAAATACTTTACAGTTCAGTAGTATACTAGTATATATTTCAATAGTATTGATATTTCTTTGAATTTTATAAATGAATGAATTGATGCATGAATGAATGAATGAACGAACGAACGAATGCAATTAGGGATGTTTCCCCAGTTCGTTCACATGCACTAAAAGTAAAGCCAAGGTTGTGGGTTTGATTCCAGAGTCACAGATTTTGATAAACTATAGAGTTTGAAAATAAGTGGCTTTAGATTAAAGCATCTGCTAAATGCATAAATGTTTAAATCACTTTATTTGACATATACATTTTTGCTTTTTATCTGTTTTCAGTTCAGCTTCTTTCTTTCTCCATCTCTCTTCCACTTCTTTTATTTTTGCCATAATCCTTACTTTGTAGTCACCCATCATCAATTATTTTGTCTTTTTTCGTGTTTCTCAAGAACATGTTCAGATTATTGATTTCCTTACAAGCATGTAAAAGACGCATGTGATGACTAAAGAATGGCATGTTATGAAAGTGTTCAGTCTTGGCTGATGTCTGTGTTTGTTTGACGTCAGTGAGAGTGACATGAGAAATAGACTCACTGATGTCTTTATCATTTCAGTGAGAACTGCTTTCCTATTATTTCCATGACAATAGTGTTGAAGTGCTGGCTGTGACGTAAAGCAGCTGTGTGTAAGAGTGTAGGTTATCATGTATTTTGTTTCTTTTCTTTTCCTTGTATATTTCTGTTTTTTTTTTTTTTTTTTTTTTTTTTGCACAAAGAAAAAAAAATGCTTCGAAAAAATGGCATTTGCTCATCTAGTGCCCTAAAAGTGTACACGAGCTCATGGTTGGCATTTTGTTGTTTACTGTTGTTTGTTCCCCATCCATCTTTGTCACTGTACAACTGAATCACGCTCAAATCACACTGAGTCGCTAGTGGTTAGTGTGACGAGACCGACAGACTTATCAAACTCTCATCAGCCCCCACCACGCACCTGTGACAGCACCATCTCCCTGCTGAACTGTATCTATCTGTATTTATGTTCTACTGTTAGTGTTATCTGTATGCACCAAGGGTCTGAGAGTAACGCAATTTCAATTCTCTGTGTGTATGTGCTGTACATGTGGAAGAATTGACAATAAAGCAGACTTGACTTGACTTGACTTGATCAGGAGACCGAGAGAGAGAGACAGACACAGATCTGAGATGCAAACACTATGAGTGTTTGTTTAGCTAGAGATTGTAGTGTTTCTATCCTCTTGAATGTGAAATGTTGTATTGTGATGTATTTCTGAGTGAAACAGCAGGATTTGATTCATCTGGAATTGATTGGATGGTGAAAAGTGGTTGTTGTATACTATAATGGAGGCAGGTGGTTGGAAGGAAGGGGCTGAAAATAGATTTGTGATGTTGACCTAAAATGAAATTAGAATTGACTCGCTTTACTTACTTAAAGGGATAGTTCACCCCCCAAAAAATTTAAATTCTGTCATCATTTACTCATCCTCTTTTTGTCCCAAACCTGTATGACTTTAATTCTATGGTGGAGCGCAAAAAGAAGATGTTTTGAAGACTGTGTTGGTTGCTCTTTTCCATACAATTACAGTGAATGAAGCTTAAAAAGGACACAAGCACCATAGAAGTACCATGATAGTGGTCCATTTGACACAAGGTTTTATTTACTAAAATCTTTCCCTCCCTCCAACATTTAATCTTTACAACTAGATCATTGGATCATTGAGAACTGGAACAGATTCATGAATGAATCATTTAGATCGGTTTTGTGAACTGAATTAGCTGAATCCTTAAATGGTTCCCAACTCTAAATAAATGAATAAATAGAATTAAATAAATTAAAATAAATTAAATAAAATAGTCAAATTATGGTAATAAAGAGGGAAAAAGTCTACTGTGGTTGCCAGAAGTTCATTGTAAAAGTATGTTGACCGTGTTTTCAGGGTATTAGGGGGGTGACAATTTTGTGCCTGTAAATTTTACAAATCTTTGCCATATCTTTCATTTAAGTGATAAAATGTTAAAGGCGTCATATGATGTTGCTAAAAAGAACATTATTTGGTGTATTTGGTGTAATGAAATGTGTTTATGCGGTTTAAGGTTCAAAAAACACATTATTTTCCACATACTGTACATTATTGTTTCTCCTCTATGCCCCGCCTTTCTGAAACGCGTAGATTTTTACAAAGCTCATCGGTCTGAAAAGCGAGGTGTGCTCTGATTGGCCAGCTATCCAGTGCGTTGTGATTGGCGGAATACCTCAAGCGTGTGACGGAAATGTTACGCCCCTTACCATATTGTGATGATGCCCTGTCCGGCCGGAGCGACGAAACAAAAACATTAAAACCCATTATAAACGAGGCATTTGTTGCATCCAGTGGGGACATAATTACGGATTATAATGATTTATACTGTATTTTTACGCATTGCGTTGCGTCGCGCTATGTAAACATAAAACCATGTCTGCATTTGTGATCGGAGAAATGACAAACAACAAGTGCTACTCTACACTGACTTACACGTCAGTGGCAAATTCTCTAAATATAAAAAATTTACTTACAGTCTGTGAGTCAGAACAGCCGGCACTGTAGTCTACTCTACCAGGATCAGGAAACAGTCCTCCATAAAATGCACTGCACACATCTGAATATTTGGGTTGAAATGTTCTGGAACAGTGTTGTAAATACAACTTAACCACTGAGTTCTAGTCGTGTCCTCTCTGGTTAAGTCAAAGCTATTGTATGGTTTTATAAGCTTTGGAAATTGCAAAAAAAAAAAAAGTTTTTTTTTTTATTAAATTGTTTTATATCTCTGTACTATAAGGATAATATTATGGTGCTTTTGTGTCCTTTTGGAAGCTTAAACCTGCAATTAAACTTGTAATTGCATGGAAAAGAGTGACCAGCTTATTCTTCAAAATGTCTCATTTTGTGTTCCAACGAAGAAAGTCAGTCATACAGGTCTGAAATGAAATGTGCTCAGAATCTTCATTTTTGGGTGAGCTATTCCTTTAAGGACGTAAATGGGGTCAGTATTGATTTCATGTTAGCTTTGTGAACGTTTGTCGTCAAGGGTCATCAGAAGCGCAGAATGAGATAATGGCACTTTCACACCGCAAAAGAGCGAGTGGTTTCCATTTCGAATCATTACTGTTCTACTTGTGTCTCCCTCATTTCTCTGATGTGTCTCACTGCTCTAATTCTCTGTCTCTCAGGAGATGTGCTCTCTTTCAGTAAAGTGTGTCACTCTCACTCATTCCCTTTATGAAATTATACACCCTCTCGTTCTCATTCTTTTGGCGCTGAAAGAGACACTCCGTCTCTTGAACGCTCTCCGGAGTTTCTCTCCGTCTGTTGTATCAACCCTTCCCTCCCCCCTCTCTCACAGCATCTTTCTCTCCCTCGTTCATTGTCTTTTTTGTCGTTCGGTGTTAATTCTCTCTCCATGACTCATGTTTATCGCTGGAGAGAAGCGAGTTCTCGTTGCCGTCTCAGTCCTGACTCGCTTGAGTGTGCGCGCGCGTGTGTGTGTGTGGGACATGTTTGTCAGGGCTCGTCACATTTCGCTCGGCTGGTGGTGGGGGATATGTGAGCGTGTGTGAGTGTGTGTGGCGGTGAGGATGCGTGCTCGCAGACGCTGGCAGTCGTGTGCTGGCAGAGTTAAGATGATGGCTGTAGTTCGGACGTCTCTGCAGAAAGTGGTGGTCTTCTTACACCGGCTCCAGAGAATGGCGATATCCTCACCACGTTACCAGAAACTGTGCAAGGTCAGTGTCTTGTGCACACACTCGCTGAAGCGCTTTCATCCGATCTGTGCTAGTTTACGGTAGTTGGATTTAGTTTGGTTTGTCATGAGTTCTGTTGAAGTTCTAGTTAAACAGTTTCTTGGATTTCGTCTCATGCTTTTTACTTATTTTTTTGTTGTAGTATTTTTTTTTTTCCAGTGAAATC